AGGACCTGTACTCTGCAACAAGAGAAGCCACCACAATGAGAAGCCTGCACACTGCAACTAGAGAGCAGCCCCTGCTCGCGGCAACTAGAGAAAAGCCCTCACTGCAATTAAAAAAAAGAGAGAGAGAGAAGCCGCAGCAGAAGGCTTAAGGCAAACAGGTCTCCCCGAGGCCCAAACAGACACCAGCCCAGGATCGACATAAAAAAGACGACTGGGGACGTAGAAGCCTGTCCGTGAGCAGACCTCATCGAGGTTTCATGCATGAAGCCCTCCTGTCCAGGGGCAGGGCTGGATTTCGAGAGCACTTCACGGAAGGCAGCCAGCACCCCTCTATTCACAGAGCCCCCAGTCTGGGTCCAAGTCTGAAGGGGCTGAGAGCAGGCGCAGGGCAGCAGACAGCACCAAGATGTGAGTTCTAGTCCTGTCTGGGCCACTGCCCGGCTCTGAGACCGGCTCTGCCCTGCCTGACTCTCAGCCAGGCTGCCCTCGGAGCCTGCTCTCCCACCTCGCCGGCGGGGACCACCACCGTCCTTCAGAAGAGCCGGCTGGCCTGGTGCGAGGATGCGATTGCAGCCCCCCATGGATACAGGAGGCAGGAATGGCTGCCCCTGCCAGGAACTTGTCACCTTCCACCTAAACATCAAGTCAAGGTCCCTCCTAGCTCCACCTGCCCACAACTCTGCTCACTCAGCAAAGCATCACGAGACGGAGTTATCAGCTGATGGGCAGCACACGGGCCTGTGGCCACGGCCCTGCCGACCACCATGACCACCGGCAGCCTCAGCGCACCTCCTGCCCCCACACTCCTGCCCTGTGGGGACCCCGCAGCCTGGAACCACGAGGCCGCCCCGCCCACACCTCCTCCCCTCTCACCCCCGAGCACAGCGGTCACTCCCAGGAAGTAGAGCTGGCTCCAAGCTCCAGGCTGCAGTTTTAGCTCCAGAGGGCAGCCTGGCCAAGAAGAGGCGGCGGGGACAGGAGCGTCTGTTCCACCACCCAGTCCCTTCCTCTCCAGTTCCCGCAGGGTCTCAGGGTGAGGACAGTGAGCTGTCACATTCACCAGACTCAGGCTCTGGTGTAACCCCCACAATCCAGGACCTTGGGGGGAATTTACCTCTCCTCCCCCCATGGAGCCAGCTGACCCACCAGGCCCCACAGCGCACCTGGAACAGGACTGACCATGTCTACAGGAGGTCAGGCCCGAGACAGACTAAACCCACGGGAACTTGCAGTTCTGTCCTGTGGGCTTTGCCGAGGACACTGCCCTGCTGGACCACGGTGGGTCCACCTCACCCTGGAGAATCTGCAGGCACCCAGGAGCAAGAGGGGACCTGCAGTCCACCTGGGATGGACGACGCGGCTGTGGCTCCTGGGGAGCCTGGCCCAGCCCCACGGTGGCCACGGCCTTGCCTCCAGGTCTCAGACCAAAGGAGGTGGCCGGGCCCCTGACGTCAAGAAGAGGCAGGGCTGAGCATCTTCATTCATTCATTCATTCAGAACTAGCTTCTGTGCAGACAAGACATTGCTAAGAAGTCCCCGGGGTAGGCCAGTGGGGCCTCTGAGCCTGCCTGTCTCTGCAGACCGACCAGCCTGGCACACCTCCCCCTTAGCCCCAGCTCCACATTACCTGACCGAGCAGGAAGTTCCTCCACCTCCCACCTTGGCCGCAGGCATGTCTGCTCCCCTTCTGGGGGCCCAGCCAGCACCAGCATCCCAGGGGCTCCCCAGGAGTGCAGGTGCTCAGGCCTCACCTGGATCTGCTGAGGCAGAAGCTCTGGGGGTGAGGGGCATCTGCATTTTACACACAACCTGAGGGGGCTGGGGCAGGGCTCTGGAGCCCAGGTGGCACCCCCATCGAGGAGCTCGGTATCTCTGGGTGGGCTGCCTGGGTGTCCCCAGTGATGCCAGCCTGCATGACAGGCAGCGATGATGGGGGCCAGCCTGCAGACCCAGCGCTCAGGAGGAACCCCAGCTCCGCATCTCAGCTGTGTGGCCTGGCCCCGGCCCCAGAAGCCAGGGTGGGTGCGGTGCACCCTGAAACAGAGGGAACAGGACCCCGTCTGAGACCCCGAGCTCCATGCCGCCCCCTTTCCCAGGAAGGCCCGTGCCCCTCCTAACAGCAGCCGCCCCCCAGGAGGTCCCCGCACTGGGAGAGAGGACACACACCCCGAACCGTTTCTGGCTGGCTCGGCTCAGCGACTGCGCCTGCTGGGCCCGAGGACGCGGCTCGCTGATGCCAGGCCGGCTCCTGGCTGTGACAGTGACCACAGCCCGCCCGGGGCCAGCCACTCCGTGGCCCCACGCGGCTGCCGCAGCTGCTTTCACGCTCCAGTGGAGGGCGGGCCTCGGGGCTGCCGGGCGTCCACTGGCTTCGCTCTCCAGGACGGCAGCCTCTGGCTTCTCTATTTTTTTTTGAATCTAAGCCCATTGAGAAAACGCAGGCAAGTGCAGCTCCTGCAGCAGCTTGGAATGGAGGCTCATCCTCAACGTGTCTGGGGACCGAGGACACTGTCCCCTCCCACCTCTGACAGTGGCCCTCTGACGGAGCCAGGGCACCACGAGGCCGCCAGGCTGAGACCACATCAGGGTGTGCATTCACACCCACCTCCCCGCAAGGCCGGGGTGTGAGGGGAGGGGCCGCCCCGGTTCGGGGGTCACCTGGGAGGGTGGCCAGGCCCCACACTCACTGAGGGGAGTGAGCAGCATGGGCATGCTGCTCCATGCCATATGTCCACAAGGACCCAGCCCAGAGACGGTGAGTGCCCTCCCCAGGCTGCTCAGCAGCGGTGGGCCAGGCTGGACGTTCAGCCAGCCAGCATGCGATACACGGAGCCACTCTCAGGCCTTTGTGCCAGGCAGGCAGCTGCATGGGGGTCCAGGTGGGGGTCCTCGGGGACCTGGCTCTGAGCTCCGCCCACACCACCACCTCCATGTACTCCTTCTTAGAGACCAGCACCCCCCAGGTTCTGGGGGTGTGTCAGAAAACGGCCCTGCATCCCATGCCCCCAGTCCCAAGAGGCTCACCTGAGCGTCAGACTTTCAAATAAAGTCAGAACTTCCCTGGTGGTCCAGAGGCTAAGACTCCACACTTCCAATGCAGGGGGCCCGGGTTCAATCTCTGGTCAGGGAACTAGATCCCACATGCCGCAAGTAAGAGCTCGCACACCACAACTAAGGATCCCGCATACCGCAACAAAGATCGAAGATCCCATGTACTACAACCAAGACCCGGCGCAGCCGAATAAATAAATATTAGCAAAAATAAAATAGCCAATTCTGGGGAATACTGTCCATGAAATCTTTGTGCTTTTGCCTCACAAGCCCCTAAATTTCTGATGACACTGTCCCCCTGCCCTGTAAAGTGCCTTGTGTCCACTGAGGTCAACAAGATGAAGAAACACAAAAGGTAAAAAATAGATGAACTATCTGAAATGAAAAGAAAAATGCCCAACACCAGCGGGGTCTCTGGGTGATGCATGAGACCCGCCCTCAGGCTGCTCCTTGCCTTTCATGTTCCATCATCCAGTTTTTCTATGTGGAGCAAGAGTTATATATTCATAAAGGAAAAAATAACTAGAGAACCAAATTTGATTGTAAAATACCAGAGGAGCAGTGATAAATGCTGCTCCTATTTATTGTGTGCCTGAATACTTCTGGGGGAACAGGCAGGGGTGAACAGAGCTGGATCCCAACATTCAAGCAGTAACTCCTTTTTCCCCTTGGCTTCTTGGAATGGGTTTCGTTCCCCTCTAAGACCTTGGCTGTGAGCGGCAGATATCCTGCCAACAAACCACAGCCACCTTTTTTTGTTCTTCCAGTATGGATGGAAGGTCGCTGAGAACCAGAACCAAATGGGCTAAAGTTTTATTAGCAATGAGGCTGGGAAGGCCTGAGCCATAACTGAGCTGGGTGTCTCCCTGGAATAATCCCAGGCCTACCCTGGCCAGGAGTTCAGAATTATCCAGAAAGACTCAGCGTCTGTCCTCCTGGACACGTCCTATACGGGCAGCCTGAGGCATCTAAAGTGCCCCAGACTCCTATCCCAGGCCCCACGACCCTCAGAGCTGACCTCAGGGCCCTGCCCTGACCCAGGAAGTAGACAGATGGCCAGAGGCTCTCGATACACTCAAGTTAGGATTGGTTCCCTGAGAACCCAGCAGCGTGGCCACCTGGGGGCTCTGGTTTTCAACCGAGTGGCTTCCTTCAACCTGTGGCTGGCGGTTCGTGCTGTCCACGGCCTCCCGCAGCAGCACGGGGCAGACCCAGGCTCACACACTTTCCTCTGAGCTTCCTGGGGGGACCCAGGGGCCCCTTCTACCCCAGCTCTGAAGTTCCCACCCCTGCACCAATACAAAGACACCTCAACAGCCAACGCAGTGCCTGCCTATAGTCAATTCTGGGCCCCGCTTAGGGTCTGGAGGCTGCTGAATCCACACAGTGAGTCCCGTGTCCCGCTGAGAACAGCTGATGGCTGACAGCACCAAGCTGCAAGTGACTCCTTGGCCGGGGCCCACAGCCCGGCCCTGCTCACTTGATGCCATCTCCAGGGCCTGGAGACAACCTGGGCCTCGGGCTGGGGTGGCCAGGACAGCTGCCTCCTGCCTCCCACATCCCTGCAGCACCGGGCACTCCATGCCTGGCTGGGAACGTGGCCGTGGGGGCACACACCTTCCTCTCACCCAGCAGCTGTGCTATGCACCCTACCAAGAGAATGGCCAATATCGTTCTCCATCAAACACCAGCATATAAAACAAGGAAGAGACAGGAAGGGAGGTTTGCTCTATTTGAGGGGAGGTTGTAAGACCTGGAGCCTCCTTAGACCAACCATCTCTTTGCTCCACCTCTGAGAACCTCTGAGGAACCCCAGGGTTCCCAGGGCATAGTTTGAGAAACACCCGCGTAGGCCTCAAAGCAGACAGCACCATCAACCAGACCCGATCCGGAGACCCAGAACCGCCCCGCGGCCCCCCCAGCCCCTACGCCGGCCCTCACCCTCCTACCTGGAGGCCGCGATCTCCGCCTTCTGCTTGGCGATGGTGGCCGCCCGCTCGGCCGCCTCCACGGCGCGGTCCACCTTCTCGCGGATCTTGCTGGCGCGCAGCGGGATGAGGTTCTTGCGCTTGCCGCTCACGAGGATGTTCTGCTTGTACTTGCCCTCCTCCTTGGTGCCGTCGGGGAAGGTCATGCAGCCGTAGCCGTGCCGCCGGTTGCCCGCCCACTCGCCCTCGTACTTGAGCCCGTCCGAGCGCTGGCTCACGCCGAAGCCCGAGCGCTTGTCGCTCTTCCACTCGCCCACGTAGGTCTCGGTGGTGGTGGCGTCGATGTCGTCCTCGATGGCCGACAGCTCGGCCTCGCCCTCGCCCAGGCTGATGGTGGAGTGGATGTCGCTGGCCGTGGAGCTGACCGAGCTCATGCCGGCCTCGCTACGGAAGGAGCTCTGCTTGCTGCGCTGGCTGGCCAGGCTGCTCTTGGACTCCGACTTGCGCAGCTTCAGCCCACTCAGCAGCGAGCGCCGGAACAGCCCCTTCTTCTTGCTCTTGAGGATCTCAGAGTCGCTGTGCGCCACCAGCACGAAGCCCCCGCGGGACACGGCGGGGCTGCCGGCCACGGCGGGCGAGGCGTCGGGGTGAAGCGCCGCGCCGTTGCTGTGCTCGCTGCGCAGGGAGTTGATGGAGGTCCTCAGTGGCGAGCGGATGACCGCCGCCATGCCGTAGGGGACACTCTGCCGCACGCCGTAGCCCTGGCGCATGCCGCCGACCCACTGGCCCTGGTAGGTCCCTGCGGAGACAAGCGAGAGGGTGAGGCTCGCGGGCGGGAGGGGTGACGCGGCCGCCACGGTTCGCCCTGTCCTGGGGCAACCCGGCCAGGTTAACATCGAGGCAGACAGACCGTCAGCCCCCGGTTGGTTTGACGGTTTCTATCACGGGTGGTCATTTTATTTATTATTTTTTTCTGGTGCTGTCTAAAGTATACCATTCTTTTCTCTTTTTTTTTATTAATTTATTTTTATTAAAGGATAATTGCTTTACAGAATTTTGCTGTTTTCCATCAAAACTCAACATGAATCACCCATAGGTATACATATATCCCCTCTCCTTTGAACCTCCCTCCCATCTCCCTCCCCATCCTACCCCTCTAGGTTGATACACAGCCCCGTTTGAATTTCCTGAGCCATACAGCAATTTCCCCGATGGCTATCTATTTTACATAGAGTAATGTACGTGTCCATGTGACTCACGAGTGGTCATTTTTAAAGACCCTTCCCTCCTGTTTCTCGAAGCTGAATTCTGCTCCCTTAGGGCTCGGGGATGGGGAGAGAGGAGTAAGAGTCTGATGCAGCCAGGAGTGAACCGCAGAGCTCCTCAGGCACGTGGGCACAAGGAGGGTGTGGGACACCCTAGGCGAGCGGCTCCACACTGGCCTCGTGGGGCCCACGAGTGACAGATGTAAGGACGCACAGCCAGGCTACCGACTGGGTACTGACGAGACTGTCTTCGAAGGTAGTGAGTTCTCCATTGCTGGAGGCATCCAAGAAGAGTTGGGAAGACCACCACACCTGAAGCCATGAGAACTGGCAGACCTGATGTCTCCAAAAGAGTCCAAAGTGGAGACTCAGGCACTCATACCTGCACGCGCCCAGCAGCATTACTCACAAAGGCCAGAGAAAATGTGGTCCATCCAACAATGAAATATTGCTCATGCAGCCTTCAAGAGGGAGGCCATCCTGCCATTTGCTACAACATGGATGAACCCTGAGGACACCACGTTCGGTGAAATACACACGTCACAAAGGACACTCGCTATTTGATTCCTTTCACAGGAGATATCCAGGAGTCAAACCAGACAGCCTGCAAGTAGATGGCGGGGCTGGGGCTGGGGGCAGGGAACGGGCAATTATTGTTTAATGGGCACAGAGTTACTGTCTGGGGGGACAGAAGTCCTGAAAGCAGACAGAGGTGATGGCTGTGTGACACTGTAAGAGTGATCGATGCCACTGAACTGTGCACTTAGAAATGGTTCACGTGGCGAGTTTTATGTATTCTATATATCTTACCACAATCAAGCTAAAACATCACAGCACTGGGCTCATATTCTTGCTCTGCTTATTGGCTGTGTGACTCTTAACAGGACGGGTCTCCATTTCTCATGCAGTAGGCAGTTATGCAAATTAAATGACACTCAGCACACAGCAGGGCGGGCTCCCCACCTTCTCCTGTCCTGCCACCCCCCCAATATCAACAGCTTTTCCTGCCTGGGGCCACAGCTGCCCAGGCTGGGACTGAGAGCCGGGACTTGCACCCTGGGTTGTGAGAGGGACGCTGGACTAGCCTCTGGTCCTGGATGGCTCCTCCCTTCCTGGGTGGGTGGCTGTGGGAAGCTGGTCCTTTAAGGCCAGACCCTTCCGCCAGACAGCGGCCTTCCTCTGGCCAGTTCAAGCTGGGAGCCAGCTTCTGTTGCAGAGATCTCTCAGCCCCAGCCTCCTGCCATTTCCACTTGTGGGTTGGGTCAGATAAAACACAGGACCCCCAGTTAAATCTGAATTCCACATGGACAAGTAATTTTTAGAGAATGTTACATGGGACATACTTAAGCTAGAAACAATCAGGCTGATGATCTGAAATTCATTTATTTGCTGAATCCAGCCGCCCCCGCTGGGGTCTCCCATGATGTCACCCCGGGTTTCTCTGGCAGTCCCCCCACAAAGCTGAGGATGCCCTTGCATGAAGAGACTCAGCCCACCTCCCCACCAGCACCCCTGCCCCCCTCAAGGCAGGCTGAGCACAGAGCTGGGGACACATGGGGGCTCCACACCTAGCCTTGTGGAGGTCGTGGGTGTGGGGATAGAGGGAGGAGTTAGGAGGGGGGCAGACAGGGGATCGAGTCCCAGCTCCACTCTTTCTGCATGTGTGACCTTGGGAATATCTGCTTTAAGTCCCCGTGCCTCAGTTTCCTCACCTGTAAAACAGGGAAGGTGGCTGTGTAGATTAAATGCGGCAATCTGCATAAAGTGCAGAAAAGTTTGCTAACGCTTGACAAATAGCAATTGTTGTTCATCATCGTCATCAAAACCTTAGGGATACGTGTAACTGAATCCCTTTGCTGTGCACTTGAAACTATCACAACATTGTAAATCAGCTCTACTCCAATATAAAACAAAAAGTTTGCAAAATGAAAGAAAATTTGGTTAAGGAAGAAAACCTTAGGGATAAACAGCACTTTACCTGGCAGGTGAGGAAACTGAGGCTCAGAGACCGACAGGATTCAACCCCAGGGTTCGTGTCCTCCCCCTGCCAGGGCTCTGCACACAGATGATGTCCTGCCCACCCTCGTCCAGAGGGCACCAGGCTGGAAGCCACACCTGGCATCCTGCGAGGTGCAGGCCACCTCCATCCCTGAGAAAATGAGCGCCCACACTCCCTCCCTCAGATAAAAGGGTGATAACAGCAGGGAGTCAGGAAGCGGGCCTCCTTGTGCCGATCTCAGAGTCTGCACAACGTCCCCGCAGGCTGGAGGGCATCGTTCCACCTTCCAGACGTGGACGTGGAATCTATTGCATACGCGGAGACAAAGGCAAGCAGTAGCTTGCTCTGAGCATCAGTGCAGGCGAAGCAAGGGTCTCAGGTGGGGATTCGAGTTTCCCTGACACTCTGAGCTCCTGGGTCCTGCTGCCCTGGCCTTCCACAAGCCACGCAGCCCTGCAGAGCTTAGTCTGTTTTCAGATCAGGGAAAAAGCTGCTCGGCATACTATTCCTGAGTTCCGTGACTCCAGAGGTCCCTGGACAGGTGAGCCGAGGCTAGAGAGGGTCAGAGATGTGTGCAGAGGGTGGGCCTAGACAGGAGCGAACGCTAAGAAAAGGGCCCGCACAGCCAGCCTCCACTTTAAAATACACGGCCTCAAAGGACAGTCCAAAGAGATAGCAGGTTGGTGGTCGCCCGGGGCTGGGGGAGGGGGGGTGAGAATGACGGCCATCGGGGTTAGGGTTTCCTTTTGGGGTGACGAAGACGGTCTGTAATTAGATAGGCAGTAATAACCAGTAACAGAAAAATGAACGGAAGCACAGTGAGAAATGGGCTTCCCAGGTTGTGCTGGGGTAAAGAACCCTCCTGCCAATGCAAGAGACGTAAGCGACACTGGTTCTATCCCTGGGTCGGGAAGATCCCCTGGAGGAGGACATGGCAACCCACTCCAGTATTCTTGCCTGGAGAATCTCATGGACAGAGGAGCCTGGCGGGCTACAGTCCACGGGGTCTGTAGTGTCTGAGTCAGACACAACTGAAGCAACTTCGCATGCACAGTGAGAAACATAAGACAGAAGATGAGCTGGTCATATTCTAGGTGATTTGAGCAGAGTGAGGGCGTCGGGGCTTTGAAACAAATGCCTGTGGTTGCTGGGGCCCTGATGGGCCAGCCTGGCCAGCAGTGCTGGAGCCTGGGGCGTGGGCACCAGGAGTCAGGAGCCCCGAGTTCAGAGCCAGGGCTTTCCACTTAGCTAAGACCTGGGGCCCTCACTCCACCTCTCAGATATCCTAATTCACCTGTGACATGGGGGTGACGACCATAACCATCCGCTAGACACATGGAGCCATGGGTGTGGCCTCCTGCACACGGTGTGATGCGGGCAACTGAGCTTTCCTTACTCAGGGCTTGCAGTTTTATTGTATTTGCACTTTTGTTCCCAGTCGGAACACATTTCTGAATTTATAGCTGACGTCAGTAGGAAAAATGGATTTCGATATTACAGAAATATACTCCTGATCAGCTCTGCTGTGACCTGCTGGGGTAGCTGGGCCCGGCTTCAGGGCTGGTCCAGATGAGGAGAAAGAAGACAGGCCTTCAGCCAGGAGCCAGTTTCTCCCAAAGTGGGGCTCTGGGCTGGCCCCCGCTGGGCCAGGTCCTTTCTTCTCTTCCCATCTCCTTTTCTTGTTTGGGGCCAGCAGAGGACGGCTTGAAATCAAACCCCTGGTTCCCCATGGCTGTTTCATTGAATCTGGTCGGTTATTTAAAAAGACTAAGTCCATCATTCTGTTTTATACCCCAAGCAGCTTGCATGTGGAAAGACAAAAGCCAGCCCAGTGCAGAGGGAAGACCGCGTGTGGCCCCGGCAGGGGCGCCCTGACCCCCGTGGTGCTGCGGGGTCAGTCTGGGTGGTGCAGACCCCAGGGCAGGGCAACTTCCTGTCTGCACTTTGTACCCCAGCCCGGGGCCCCGCAAGCCCTGTGTCTGCCCCTCACGGGGAGACACCCAGATGAAGATGAACCATCCAGGGGGAACCTGGGGGTGGGGGGCAGGTAACCTTAGGGGGGTGTGGTGGCACGCAGGTGACCCACTCAGGGACTCTGCACATCGCAGTGAAGATGAGGGATGACCCCGTCACCCAGAACTCAGAACCAGATCTCAGTGGACCTCGGGTGAGGAACAAACCTCCCAAACGTGGCCTGTGAGATGCCAACTGGAGCGACCCGGGGCCTGCAGAGAAGAGCCAAAGAGGTGTGAACACCAGCAGGTCTCAGGCTTGCGGGGCTGTATCCAACATCCCCCGAGCTCCTGGCCACAGCCCCTGCATTCCTGACGAGCCTTCCGGAAAGGCCAACACTGTGTTCAGGGACCCACTAGGGGGCCACTGTGACCATCGCTCTGGGCACACCGTGGACACTGCGCCCTCTGGTTCTGGACACCACCAGGCCCAAATTCAAAAGCTGGCTCCGCCCCACGGCCTTCAGCCGGCGGAGATCCGGGCCTCACTCCGCTGCCGGCCCCCTGGGTGGTGTGCACAGTC